GTGAATACACCCAGCCAACTTGGATCGGCATCTCTGGAGAGGAATACCGGCACTTCGACGTTGGTGGCCCTAATTCGGCCATCGTCTCCAACGAATGGCTGCAAAAGCATATCCGGATTGGTCCTCTTGGAGCGCATTATCTCAACTGGTCATTCATCATGGAGGGAGACACCCCTGCCTTCCTCCCCCTAGTCCAGAACGGATTGGGTGATATTGACCATCCGGAGTGGGGAAGCTGGGGCGGCCGTTACGTACAAGTTGATGCACCCACTGCTGCTCACCGCTCAGTGTACTCAGATACCGCGGACTACGTGGAAGGCGCGGATGGCAGGGCATATTCTAGCAAGTTCGCGACCATTTGGAGATGGAGAGAGGCCTACCAGTATGACTTCGCTGCGCGCATGCAATGGACCATCAATGGCAACTTTGAGGAGAACAATCACCAGCCTGTTGTCGTCGTGAACGGGTCTTGCGGACCATCGGCGACCGAACTGCCTTACAAGTTTGGCGACCAAATTGTCTTCGACGCCTCCGAAAGTTGGGATCCTGACAATGATGAGTTGCATTTCGAATGGTTTCACTACCGCGAGGCCAGTGCAAGGGATCTTGAAGGGTTCAGTATCCCACTCGTCAGCAATTATCTCAACATCACCAGCCTGAACTCCAACGGCAGCATTGTCGCCGTTGAGCCTCAACGCAACCAGGTAAGAGAATCATTGCAACCAGCCTAAAAGACCAAGCTGACAAGATTTTGCGGCAGACGATGCATCTTATCTTGTCCGTTACGGACAACAGCGATATGCCTTTAGTTACGTACCGAAGGCTCATCCTCAAACCGAACTGAGAGCTACCGGGAATGGTGTTATCGACTAGGGTGATGGTAGTTTCATAACCATAGGTAATACAAGATGGCGTCTTTAAAGCGCAGAAAAGCAGTTTTCAAAACTCCCGACTCTGGACTGAAGAGCGATGCGTGAGTATTATTTGGTCAATGTATTCAACGACTCGAAAAGAGTTCGCTATTCGATTAAGGCGTGGAAACTCTAGAAACCCTGCCCCGGGCCGGAGTCGGGCGCTCTGCAGCCAGGACTTCATCCAAACCCCCGGTCATGTCGATTTCATCAGCCTCCTTGAACCATGCATCTTGACTAAAATAAGACCGATGGCCCAGATATATGACCATAAACACCGGAATACCAATGTAAGCGGTTAGAAAGTCCCCCACGGACCACTGTCCCGGGACGAACACCTGAAATCCATTGATCAGCATCAAAACTAATGCACCAATCGTCCCCGCCCACATTCCCCAAGGTTGCGAGCGCGATCGATACGGAGATTCGACTCCGTGGAATTTGATTGTCTTCTGATATCTGAGGTATATCGCCCCACAACAAATCCAGCTGATGAAGACAGCGGAGTTGGTGATGTTGATGAGCCAGTTGAAGACAGTGCGACTAGTGCTAGAGAGACTGAGGTATGCGAGGGGGCTGAAACTAGCGCTGGCTGCTACGGCAAAATAGAGTAGACCGTAGTTGTTGCATCTCTTGAATATGGCTGGGGCGTTTCCGGCAATAGCCAAGGAGTAGAGGTTCCTGGATGCAGAGTACAAAGAAGCGGGATCAGCGCGTTGACAATGCTATCCAATACAGGAATACCAGCGTTGCGAATTGCGATGACGAAAGGTGAACTTGCTGTCCCGGAAGCTCTCAGTCTTGGATCGTTGGAGGGACATACAACTCCAATGCCTATGACAGTCGGCGTGAATAGGATGATCAGCCGCCAGAAATAACGTTTTGCAGCTCGAGGCAAGTTCTGCCTTGGTGATTGCATCTCACCAGCTGTGACGATGAGCTGCTCCGGGGCTAGGACGAAGGCGAACGAAGCCAGAACGAACGGCTGGAGCAGGGCAACAAAACGACCGATATCGCCTTCCTCCAGGTAGGTGTTCACTGGACCAGAATCTTTCCAGTACCTGAACCCTAGTCTATCATGATTTGGGCCTCCGCCAAAAAATAGGACGGTCGATAGGAAGATAAGACCAAGGATTAGAAGGATCTTCATCCCAGCACTCCAAAATTCAGGTGATGAAGGCTCGCCTTGACTCAACTAGGAGAGGCCTACCGATATGCGGCGCTGATACACCTGTATCTAACAATCAGGCGATACGTTCGTGGCTATTCTGGGGTCCTCGAAGTCAAGATCCAGGCCTGTGTGAAAGAGATCTGCGATCTTGTGAGAGAATGCCCGAAGGATGCTTGGCTGAATGCACCCTTGTCTTTCCACTCTTTATCGCTGGCGGGGAAGCGCGGGACGCAGAACATGTCGAGATTATTCGAGAAAGACTGGGGATGATTGTAGATCTGCGCAGATTCCGGAACGTGGAAGCTTGCGTTGATGTTCTTGATGAAGTGTGGAGATTGCGGGCTTCGGGGTCGCGGGGTTCTGATGAGGGCAAGGTTGACTGGCTGGATATCGTTGAGCATCGCGGATGGAAGCTGGCTATTACATGATACGTATCGAAACGAATGCGATCAAATCTGCGTTCTGTTCTTTTAACGATCGCATCAAGTCATGAGACAAGAGTGTCCTCCGGCTCTCCAAACAAGAGTTTTGCTAGTCGGGCAGTGTCATTTTGTTATCCGGGCAGTGTCCCCTATAATCTGAAAATATAGAGAGAATAACAGTAATTATAATAAGAATAATAACGAAAGACGACAACGATAACGAAGACGATAACGATAAAAATAATAGATAACGATAATAGATATTAAAGACGACGAAGGTAAGAATAGGAAATGTATTTGCTTTAGAAACAGGCTACGGATTATACACGTGTGTTTGTGTGTGTAGATACTGCCCGGATAGCCAAATAACACTACCCGACTAGCAAAGCTCCAAAACAAACCCGAGGAATACTAAAGATCTCGTCACTAGAGTGTGCCGCCGTTGACGCCGTGTTGGAAACGGCCGCCGTTAGCGCCACGCCTACGACGAGACATCTAGTCGCCAAAGCTGGACTTATCACACATTACTTTGTGACCAGGTTTCTCTAGATTAGCAAAATTAGCTCACCACAATTTGCAAGATATTTATCATTGCCTCAAGCGCGCCACCTGAGCAGTGCAGCTTTCTCCCGGTCCGACACCACATCACAAACATCGCATCAGGATCATCTCGTCTTAGTCTTTAAAGTTCACCTCTTCAATATCGTCATTCAACCCTTGTTGTCCAGAACGAGAGTCATGGAAACCACGACACAAACCGCTACAGAACCTAAGGCAGAAGATCGCCCCGATCAAGCCGCTGTGCCATACCGCGGCCCTCGCCTTCCTGCGGTTCCTGACGATCTGGTCATTCCGGGCATTTTTGACATCGAATGTGACGAACGTCTTTGGGTTCCGCAGGCCCCGGGGGTCTGGTTCCGTCCGCTCCTGTTTTCCGTCTCTGAAGGTTACTTCGTCAACATTCTTCTCGTCCGCCGCTCTGGCATCCTCTCTAGACATCGTCTTGCCGGCGCTGTCCATGCAACAGTCTTGAAAGGCAGATGGCACTACCTTGAGCATCCATGGTGGGCCACTGAGGGAGGCTACGCATATGAGCCTCCGGGAGATGTTCACACGCTCGAAGTGCCGGACGATGTAAAGGAAATGATCACGATGTTTCATGTAACGGGAGCGTACATTTACATTGACCCAGATGGAGTGCCTGTCGGTGTGGAGGATGTTTTCAGCAAGCTCGACAAGGCGAGGAAGCATTATGAGGAGGTCGGGCTTGGGGCGGCGTTCGCTGATCAGTTTGTGCGTTGAAAGCGCTGGGGGGTTTGTCTCGTTATCCAAAACAATTAGCCCCGCTAGAATATCTTTCAATTGCAAGAGCCCGCTAGAGCTCAGTAATTCAAACAAGAAGCAGTTGCAAAAAGTAAGACGTCAAGGACAGGATTCGAACCTGCGCGACCGAAGCCACTGCCTACACTACTAGAATGCTAACCGAAGTTAGATATCCATAGCAGGGCAGCCCATTAACCACTCTGGCACCTTGACATGGGTGCTTTTTTGATAGTGGACAAAGGACAGAGTGCCATTATGTCCACGACTCCCACCATTTGTGTGGTAAAATCTGCAAAAAGGAATTCGACGTTGGCCTGATTTGAACAGACGCTCCCGAAGGAACAAGATTTCTAGTCTTGCGCATTAGACCACTCTGCCACAACGCCGGATAATCCCTGTTGCAGATCGCTACTGGGAGTGGACATGCTGTAGTCAGCCGACATTGGCGTACTCGATCCTGGGTTGACACTGGACTCCCGTTGTACAGGGAACGAAGCTCATTTCAACACCTTGATGACGGAGATACCTGCCCGGAAAATTCATGGTGAGTTGCTGTTTATATACGATACAAATCTCCCATGCTCGACATTGATGTATCGATGTGTTGGGTTTGAATTCTCACTAACAGGTCCTTGAATTAAGTGCGTGTTTTCGTACCTTACTGTGTGCTGCATTATGGGCCCACATCGTGTTTCTGGGCTTCCCTTCATATTCCGGTCGACAGCAGCCCTTTTCTCTTTGTCTCCCGTAAAGTGAGATAAAAATGCTGGATCTTTGCTCCTCAAGGTGCAGAGCTAGTTACCAACATGCATGCCAAGATCTCGCTCTCCGCGGAACTGCATGGTCGGCTTGGCTGCTGACATGCCAAGCACAGCTGAACCCTTGCCACAAAAGGCTTGCGCAGCAGATGCGAGTGCGAGAGTCTGCATGTGCCACGATGTGCGTGATTGAAAGTACGAATCATCTATATATACATGCTCTACCATCCATCGGTATGATGCGTTGCATGTGAGCCTCTGCATCACTGACTGAGCTTTGTCGGCTCTTCCAAAGACAATCGAGACAAAACTATCATTCAGACCCTCTCCCCTTCCGTTGGGGACGATCTCTCGGCACTCAACGTTTCAATTTGCTTTGAAAACTCTCTGCGTCTATGCTATTACATTAAGCACGATGAGCTCCGGGTATTTGAAGGATGGAAAGGAGCTTTGGTCCAAAGCGACCTCCGTTGTTGTTGAACAACTCGTTCGCGAGCGCGACAAAGCGTTTGTCAGAACGAGCGGCACCATCCCCAAACGAGACGACATTGTCGATGACATTGCGAGAGCTTCAGCCTCTGGAATTGGCTTCTTTTCGGAAGCCGCACATTATCGACGAGATCGCAAACGCCCAGAGGCCTCACAAGAACACTCGAGGTCCCCAGAACTAGGACAAGAGTCCCACTGTGAACGTGTGCATGAAGCCATTTGGGATCTTGACGAGGTCGAAGTCGGTTCTGGGACACAACTTAACTTCAATACTGGCAACACCAAAGACGGGGGCTCCAAGCCTGTGAAAGAGTCGAACGACCTAGCTACTGCGTTTCTCAACAGACATCCTCTCAAATCTGATGACGGCATTGGCACCAAAAGCGGAATCACAATGCCGGTTGTCTTGCCCCAAAGACGACCCAAGACAAGAGTTCGGGGGTTTGTAAGAGCCTATGCTCCGGTTCTTGCTGCCGCGGGTATAAACGAGGAAGCATTCCTGAACTTCATCGATACCCTCAACAAGTCCTTGGTACCGAATCCCTACCTTTATGCCATCAACCTCGCTGGGCTTGCCGACATCATTGCACCGGATCCCGCTCTGACAGCCTTTGGGATCTTGCTGGGTATCGCAGTGGAAGGCGTCATGGAAGGTCAAAGTCGCTTCAAGTCTAACAAGTTCCTAGACCAGATGAACGCGGACTTCTTTAGGCCGCGGGGTCTCATGTGTTTTGTTGCAACTTGGAGACCTGACGACATTTCTGGGAAGGTGGCTGTCGACTTTGAATGCAAGACAGCCAGTGAAAGTCCTTCCGTTGACTTCTCAAAAGGCGACAAAGTGTCTCCAGAGGCAAGCTCATCTGAGAATGAGAAGTTGGGCCACATTAAGAAACTACTAGGAGAGCGGTTGAGATCCCATGACCACATCCTCGATTGGTCCGACCCAGCACCCCTCCTGTTCCCCGCAGCTAGCGAGCTTGTACTGGCACAAGGCAGAGATGGACAAAAGAAAAAGAATGGCCTTGATCGGGCAGAGATTTGGCTTGACGATTACATGGATAAGAGAGCTCAAGTCGAATGGATAAACGAGAACCCAGAACTCTCGGCAGCCAAGGCGCTACCCAAAGCTGAATTCAAATCACGATACGCTGATCCGACTCACCCAGCCGCCAGCGGAGACGTTGTCGCCCTGGTCACTGGAGGGCGATGGCAGTACAAGCGAAAACAGACCGTTTCTGAGGAAAGTGTCGAGTTGGATGCAGCACAAAACAAAGACAAGACCGAAGATGAAAAGCAGATTGAGATTGCAGACGCAGAGAACGGACCGTCGAAGGGCACAACGGAATCGGGGGCACATTTTCAACCACAGTTAAAACAAGAGCAGCATGATGATGACGAGTCAAAAGAATCAATGGATAACAACGAAGGTATCTTCATTGGGCCGCTGACACTAAGGGACGCACAGAAAGAAGAAAAGAAGAGGCGGAAAGAAGTGGAAAAGGCAGCGGAGATCGAAAGGAAGGTGCGAGAAGAACAGGCAAGGAAAAAGAAAAAGGAAGAGAAGAAGGTTAGAGACGAAGAAAAGCGCATGAGATTAGAGAATGAAAAGGCTTTGGAAAAGAAAAAGAAGGTGGAAGAGAAACGGCTTAAGAAAGCTGCTGAAGAAGAGAAGATGGCTGGGCCGGCTGAAACTGTCGATGACATGATCAAGAGTCTTTTCCAAAAGGTAAGTGCTATAGCACAACGATTATGGAACCCAATACATCACTAACACTTCAATCAGGACGTTCTGTACCTTGTAATTGTCAATCTTCCATCGCAAGAGAAGAACCATGACGAGGCTGTCGAGGATACTTGAGCCGTCTGAGTTGAGGAAGGGTGCCTCAAAATAATCCCGCGATGTGTTCAGCATCGTTGCGTCGAACAAAGGCCATTATGTGATGATGTTTCCATCACATAGAACGGGTTGCCATTAGATTTCAGAATATAGAATTACCCCGGGCATCTCTTTTGCATACTGAGACCACGTCCAAGCCACGCCAGGCCAATAGTTGAACCACGCCGACATCTTCTGGGGGCTTTCTGGGACAAACAAGGTGTCGTCCTCTTGTCGCTTCTCTTTAATTGTCGTCGGCAGGGCCCATGCCAGAAAATGGCTTCTCCTTGGCCCCGGAGGAAGCACCCTGGTTTGGTCAGCATGATCTTGATGTCATGACAGATAGAAGGAAAAGATGCTCACATTGCATTGCCCAAAATCCCATGGCAAATGCAGGGGTCCTTGCGTAATAAGCCCATATTCCATACCGCCTGTTGTCCGCGTTCAATAGCTTCGTCCATGATATCGTCCATGTCCGGGAAAAGGCGGCGGATGTGCAATAGCGAGTCGACAAGCCCCGGAGCACCGTGACAAAATTGAACAAGACCTTCATATCGCTTATCATCGTCATCTTTAGTGGTCCAGTTTCCATCTTCTCGCTGGAGACTTAACAGTCGTCTCAATGCATTTTTGATCATCGAGTTGCTAGCAAGTTTTGGGTCCGTCAGGAGTAGCTGGGTCAAAATGCCGATGTCTCCGTGAACAGCGCCGATGTAGCGCTTGCCCCGAAAGACCCACCCGGGCCCAGCGCCGAGAGTCTTCTCCACCATCCGGGCTTTGACGAGAGTCAGAGAGGATGCGACTTCAGGTCTCTGTCTTCAGGTCAGTTGAAAGATCTCGGCGTCTGCAGAACCTTTACTTAGTTACCCATGATTCAACCGCGCGGATCATGTACAGCAGCCCAACGTAGCCAAACAGTAGCTCGAAGGGATGATCTTCAGCAACGAGTCGGTCAAGCTCACTGCAAAACGCGGGAGCATTGGCCTCGTCCATCATTGTCTTAACAGCCAAGAGTGCAACGCTCTCGCAAGCTAGACCGCAAGGGGCGGAGTTCTCTCCGGGACGCTTCGCCGATGCATAGAGACTTGCCCAGTGGCTGAGCAACTGATCTTGTACTTGCATCGACGGATATTGGGCGCTGAGCTTGAGTAGCAAAAAGGCGAGAGATGTAGGGCCCCGAAAAAGACCACGACATTGGTCGTTCGAGTATTCAGCCAGTGGCGGCGTGTCGACGAGGACATGCGTTAGCGCTTCATGAATGAGAGCTTCTGGATCGCCCGAGAACGTGAGATACTCTCCTTCTCTGACGTTGTTCGGGATGAACCGAGATTCAGGTGGGATGGGAACAGCCATGTTGATTGCGCAGGTCTTTCAAGGATAGAGCCGCCGTGATTGACGCTTTTCTGGCTCATTGTCCTGCGCTGACGAGTTGGTGTTCACATGCGGGGAAAACGGGCAAATTTATGTGGACTTCCATCTTTGGCTGGCATGTCTGACAACGGGATGGATTATTCATCATGATGCACTGACAGGCAGGCAGCTTGAGCACCATCTATCCACCACGCCCTGGCCGATCCGCCGTTGCGCAATGTAAGAAGGTCTCTGGACTGCACTAATCCAGTGAATTTAGGCTTAGAGCACGAGGAAGAATATCCAGGTACGAAGCAGAGTATTCATCACGAGAAAAGTGCGATAATGGCCGCATTAGCGTTATGTATGTAAGCAACCACTATTCCTCGAACATGATTGAATGCCTGCCGTTCTGCACTCTTTAAGTCATTGTGTCATATAAAATTCAACAGACACGTTTAGTCTGTTCTTCCACGTTTGGTCTTGTTTTGAATGCGAATTTCTTTTTCTGCACATTTCCTTGCCGTACACGTCTCGGGCGAACGTCGGTGAGCCTACTTCCAAACTTACGGACAGGCTGTGATAAAGGTGGGCAGTTAAAAAGATTGGGCGCCCTGGAATTCGGTTGGTTTGGGATGGTTGCTAATTGCTGACGTGGTTCCCATAATCTGCCTAGCCGTATAATCGCTTCTATCCGGTCTTTCCAAACGAGCCTCCCGCCCGACCTAGCCTTGCTTATGTGCGGCGAATTCAGGATGCAGGTATTTAAATACATCATCTGAACCGCACATCCCACTGTGCACGTCTTTCAATCATGATCCACTCCTTTATCTTTAATGAGATGTCTCGTTCATAGACCGCGAAAGATGCTATTTATTAGTGTAGCGTTTGAGATCATACGGTAGGATGTTGGCTGCAACACGTTTTTCTTGTAACCGTCGGAACTTTGTGTAGTACATCCTTACCCATTGAAATCTTTCTAGATCACCGCATCGCCATGGGGCGGATGAATACTGGCTCCATGGAATCTGATCGCGCGGATCACAAACATTGCGAGAATGAACCCTCACCAGCGTGGAATCAAGTGGAAGCGGCTGGTTCAAACGTAAGTAGTTATACGTCGTACCTTCGCAAGCCCGGCGCACATATGCTAACCTGCCTAAAGAGATACTGGATATCCAAGGATAGAGATACCAACGTGAAACAAATATACGCCGTCATTGAGCCTTCACCTTCAAATTCAGCTCATCGTGATCAGCACCATCCCCAACCCAACACAGAGTGTGGCTGGAGTGTTGATGTCCAATGAGCCTTCATTGGACGCTTCTTCCACATCTCGACTTTTCCAGGATCATTTCAAAGGGGGAAATTTTCTGGGAATCAGGAACGTAACTGTAAGCTTCTTATTCTTTCTTGCGCGAGTGATACACTCCGTAGCTACGAAGTCACGTATTGACCGATGTCTCTCTCAATCAGAGTTGCGACGAGAATGTCGTGGTTGACGTGCACATCTTATTTGTCAGACTTCATACGTCGAAACCGGCCCTTCCAACGGGTCCCGTAGGAACCTCTGCATCAGATTTCATCCCTTTAAGACCCCATGACTATCAATTATCCATCCAGTTAATAGGTCATTCAGATGGCTCATGGACTACGATTGTCCTCTTGGATGACTTTTCCAATCCAACAGATCCAGAGTCCAAATTACATCACGCCTTCGACACCAATCTCCGATCATCAACAATAGCCGATTCGAGTGCAACCAGACTCAGTAAGTGTCTCGGAATACTGAATCTACATGTCGGACAGGTCACCTCCGAGTGGGAGGGTGTGTATTCGCAACTCTCTCAAGCAATCAGTCAGTTGGTAAGTTCCTCTCCTATCCTGTTGATGAGGTCAGAGACATTGTTTCTTGAGTTCCTGCCTCATTATCCATGTTGGTATCGAGCTTGGACTCAACAACTGATCCGAAGTCTTTGTTTAGCTGTTGCGAAACAATACGACTGATGGGAGTTAGAGCGACGTTCTGCTTGCTCAGAAACAAGCCATGAAAGCCCGAAGATTGACATCGAAGCTCATAATCAAACTCGACCGCATAGTCGAGGCGCTCCGTTCTTCCAGACTTGACGGCCGACTGGAACAACATGCCTTCGACGTTTCAGGACGTTCGATCAAAGAGTCTGAATCAAGCCCGCAGTACGGAACCTTCGAAAAACTGCTTCGAGTTTTGGCACAGTTGAGATCTCTGGAAACGGAAATCGAAGACTATCATTGTGCAGTAAGTGGTGCAACGGTAGCTGTCCAATGATTGAGCCAGGAATCTCTCTTTAATTGGGGCCATTGAATGGTAGCTATTGTTGACATACAACATTAGGTTCTGTTGCGTTATCTACGTGACCTCCGAAGGCGGGAAGAAAACGATGCGAACCGTAAAGTCTCTCGCTTGGTCAGACAAGCTCTCCAGCAAAAGATCCAATATGTCAATGTCAATATCGTAAGTTGATTTGAAATCAAATGTAGTTACTGCTCCACAGATCATCTTTTTGTTGACGATTATTTCTGTTATCGCTTCAAGCTCCAAGTATTTTCACCGATGGCTTTGGCCGGTTCCCTAATGCAAGCCGGGTTGGGTTTTGGGAAGACCGCAGTTTCATTCTTCGTTCTTACCGCTTTGCTTATGGTAATTACCGCAAGCCTGTCGTGGTTAACCCGTAGATTTCATGCCTTCACGAACACTGAAGCAAAGTCGGAAACCGTCACGGGCAAATTGGACCCGCGCAATCTTCCAACCGGCCAGACTGTTCGCAACAAACACCTGAAAGGCCAGTTGAATCATTCACCGGATCAAAGGACAGTCGCTACCAGTCCTTGTAAGTCTTTTTGAGGAAAGGCACGTCAGAAATTGTATGTTGACCGGAAACATAGTATCTAATACTCCGCAACAATCGCCTCCATCCAGTCGACCTACTTTCACGAGCCAGCTGATTATCTCAGTCAGAGGTTTATATGCCAGGCGATTGAACATCATTGTGGATCAATTTGTTCGATTATTTACGCCAAGCCAAGCAGTGCCCCCAGGACACGTCCTAGTCTGCTGGAAATGTGTGCGTAATTGGCCCCTCACTGCAATCTACCACTTCAAGACACAAAGAATCTAACAAGCTGCGACCAACGCAGAAATGTGGAGAGAGACTAAAACTTCAAGTTGAAACGTCTCATCAATATGCTGCAGTTGACTTCGCCCGACAAGCATCCGGGCGTGAAATTGTCGTTTTCCCGGCCACTGATTTGGCTAATACTGCAAGCCTTACTCCCGACCCTTCGGAGAGCGAGCTCGCGGTATCTCAGCCTTCAAATTCTACTAGAGACAGCCAATCAATCTCTTCAGCGCCGACCACTGTGGACAAACAAGACTCAACTGACGATTTCACAGCTACCGACGGCGTCAAAAAATATATGTTGCTTTGCGTGAACACTCACAAACACGTCATCCTTCTTGAGAATGTTGATGTCACAACCGTCCATTCAGACGAAGATCTATTCAACAAACTTAGGGCAGCATACAATAGGCATCGAGGGGACCCTTTATATCGGCCATCTACGAATGATGGGAGCCTCGTGGGTCTGCTCCA